ACGCCAAAATTCTTCTCTACATGATTGAGATGCTCTTTATGCTTACATTCAGCCTATTGTTCTTCTTGTCATGTTCCCGACTATAACTATTCTAGGTCGAATATCTGGCATGATCTGCATAAATGACGTGAAGCCCTTATCAATTGACAGACAAGATTTTATTCATCCCAATCCCCCCTGGAACTCGGAGATGACAGATACGATTGCATTTGGATTCACCCATGTTGTTTAAACAGACTTATAATGGTTACATGACTAGAAACATGTTCTCGGGAGATTTCAAGATCAGACAGGATCGGCCTGGGATCGATTCGATACCCTCCCTTAAAGGAACAGTCTCACTGATGTCTGTGTCGAGCGGCAAGCACTGGCTGCTCTCTACAGCAGTAGTAGTAGTAGTAGTAGTAGTAGTAGTAGTAGTAGTAGTAGTAGTAGTAGTAGTAGTAGTCTTATATATTCATTGATTTGTTTGTTTGTTGTCAAACGCCGCACTCATTAATATTGCAGCGATAGTAGTAGTAGTCGTAGTAGTAGTAGTAGTAGTAGTAGTAGTAGTAGTCGTATATTTATTAATTTGTTCGTTGTCAAACGCCGCACTCATTAATATTGCAGCGATAGGTAGTAGTAGTAGTAGTGGTAGTAGTAGTCGTAGTAGTAGTCGTATATTTATTAATTTGTTCGTTGTCAAACGCCGCACTCATTAATATTAGTAGTAGTAGTAGTAGTAGTAGTAGTAATAGTAGTAGTAGTAGTAGTAGTAGTAGTAGTAGTAGTAGTAGTCGTATATTTATTAATTTGTTCGTTGTCAAACGCCGCACTCATAGTAATATAGCATATAGTAGTAGTAGTAGTAGTAGTAGTAGTAGTAGTAGTAGTAGTAGTAGTAGTAGTAGTAGTAGTAGTAGTAGTCGTATATTTTTTAATTTGTTCGTTGTCAAACGCCGCACTCATTAATATTGCAGCGATAGGTAGTAGTAGTAGTAGTGGTAGTAGTAGTCGTAGTAGTAGTCGTATATTTATTAATTTGTTCGTTGTCAAACGCCGCACTCATTAATATTGCAGCGATAGGTAGTAGTAGTAGTAGTAGTAGTAGTAGTAGTAGTAGTAGTAGTAGTAGTAGTAGTAGTAGTAGTAGTAGTAGTCGTATATTTATTAATTTGTTCGTTGTCAAACGCCGCACTCATTAATATAGCAGCGATAGGTAGTAGTAGTCGTAGTAGTAGTAGTCGTAGTAGTAGTAGTCTTAGTGGTATTCTTAGGTGTAGTGGTAGTGCTAGTGCTAGTGGTAGTAATACATTAAATAAGTTTGTACTACATGGCATGAAGTGTGGGCCTGTAATGAGTTATTGCGTGAGAGCGTGAGTGAGTGAGTTACTGAGTGCGTGAGTGAGTTGCTAAGTGTGTGAGTTAATGAGTGAGTGAGTTATTGAGTGAGTGAGTTACTGCGTGAGTGCTGAAGGTTACGTGACTGAGTGACTGGTGAAGGGTATAATGAGCGTAATCAACTCCGGATGTAATACAGACGCGTACAGTACATAATCGAAGGCTGAGTCAATTTCAACCTCTCAGCAAGAATCGTTAACAAAGGTGTCTACTTGATGTCGATATGAGGAAATGAAAAGTCTATCTCTGCAGGACATCAGCGGATTGATAAGATCATGTTCACATGTGGATTAGAAATAGCTTATTGATTTATGGAACTACTAATGCACTCGAAATATATCAGATATAAAACCTGTCATAATAAATATGTTCTAACAACACTATAAACGCGAAACTCAATTTTCATAATCATGTACGAATATGGCTAGATTATGAGTTTATGAACAACTATTCATTGGGCGTAATTCTATCTGCTCGCAAAACTGTGACCATATTCCGCCCTACGGTGCCAGCGGTCATAACCACACGCAAAGGCAAGGCAAGATTCACCTCAACAAACACGGGAACATGTGGTATAACTCAAAATAAGGAATTGCATCAGACATCATTTGGTCACTGATGCGTCCGAAATGCAACGTCCACAGCGTTTCTACAATGAAACGTATTGATGATGAAACCGCATTTGAGCAAATGAGAATGCTTGGTTGTATCAAAGGTTGACACACAAATCTAAGCTCCCACGAGACGGACTACTATTAATGGGAAAAAGGACTTTAAGCGAGTGGGCAGCAGCAAAGTAACGATGCACGATAAAGGTCGTGCAAAAAGAGTATTTTGGAAACAGTGACATTATATAAATGTTTTATTTAGATGTCTTTGTATTTTCGATCCCGCTTATGGCTACCGTTGTATATGTTGAAAATGTCAGTACTAATACACATATACTTCAGAGGACTTATTGGAAATCTAATGACAGCTTAGAATAGCTGCCCATTATGAACTACAAGAATGATTACTGAAGATTGGACACTATATATTCAGGTCATTGCTGTACTTCTAATTGTGTTCTCGGTCTGTCTCTCATAAACACACGGTCCGTATGGAACCACCAGGGAGTATATGTTTATTGTTGAACGTTACAGCAATATTCCATCTATATGGCGTCGTTCTGTAATTAACACAATCTGAGTCAGACAAGCCCGATCTATTCCAACTGATACTTACCACGCAGAATGTACAGAACAAACGTGTTTAGGCAATAGCTATATGCACTGAGCTACATATGGAATATCCCAATCCCCATTGCACAAAACATACATCGAATATCCCAATTTCCATTGTACAAATCATACATCGACTATCTCAATCCCCATTGTACAAAATACAAATCGAATATCCCAACCGCCATTGAACAAAACATACATTGTATATCCCAATTCCCATTGCACAAACCATACATCGAATATCCCAATCCCCATTGTGCCAACAATAATCGGATAAAGAACTCTAGCTATCAGCCAATCCTACTGTTGTTTCTGTTCTACCCACACGGGGTTCACATCTCGTTCACATCCAAAAATATATTTATACATTTCACAGGTAACATGGACTATTTATAATACGATTTATAATTTTGGACACGATCCAACGTGCATGCATACTCGAATACATTGATATAGAAGTCGTGCATTGATGTCTGAATATATTGTACAAAGTGAATTTGAGGATTATTTTTATGAACATGTATAACAATAGGCATCGTTAGGCACGGTTAATGAAAGACGACCTTTGTAATGGTTTACTCACGTTCTCGAACAAGTGTTCCTAATTTGTCTGTCCTCACTTACATGCTTATGGGAAATGTAAGCGTTGCATTTGTGGTTACTATGAAACCTTATCCCGTGTCTTATATAGATCAGTGAATAGAAATTTAAATGACGACTGTCTCTGTACCAAGCTGTCTATAAGAAAGATCGTTTCAATAGAGTAATCCTGAAATGTCCCTCCATTCGAGCTGCATACCGTCAGCTTCAGGTTATGAAATCAGCACTTCTCAGTTCTTAAGGTACTCTAGACTGTAACATGTTAGTAATACTTCCTGGAAAGACAATTTGCTAACAGCACTGCTTTACGATAATTGTTGCGAATAAAATATCATAGTTGAGTCATTACAAATATGTTATGGTGGACATTGAGAGGAAGATATTGGACACGACATGCCGTTTGTCATGGAGAACATTTTAGTTATGTAACATAAGTTCCGGAAGAGCAAAAGGTGCTTACACTTAACACCTAGTCTCATCACTCATCTTCGGTGAAACACTCACAGAAGTGTGAGTAATATGTTCCCTTTTACGAATTATGGAATCTGTTCTGACAGATATTTGAGATTGATTGTCATTATATGGCATTGGCTTTTAGAATGAATATTTGACATCAGTTAAGAGGACGTAATAGGGTTTAGCATTAATGCCGGCATAAATACTTTGTAATCATATTTTTTAAACCCAATGTTCGACACATTGTCAATGAAACGTTTATATTAACATGTTATTGAAAATTCTCTGACGCCAGTCGTTAATAAAACATATGCATGTATTAAAGCTCAGTGAGAACGATCACCGGTTACTGCAACCTTCCTAACGCATTGTAACAGACTACGTTAAAGGTATCAATATACTACTGGCAGCGACAAGGTTCCCAAGAACACTCGCGTCATGTGCTTGTCCCACCTGGCGGGAACTGTAACCTTTCGGTGACGTCTTTATAGACGCTGACATTTGTTGGTAGACCAACACGCCTACAACCAACTATTAAATGAAACTGTTTCACTTTCCCTGTCCAAGTACCACATGTATAACTCATTAAGTGTCTGGAGAAATGAAAACCAGGATGGTTCTTATGTTGTATTACTGCCTAAAAAAGTGATTTTTGGCAAATATAAAACATTACAATTGAATACACATGTACAAGAAAATGACAGAATGATCAACGAAAAAGGAATTGTAATGGATTGAAGTGATTTGCGTTATACAAAATGACGCTTTTGATCTTCCCTTTATACATAATTACTTTAAAGCACACATTTCTACTGAATGTAAACAAACTATCACTCCGTCGAGACGAAACGAAAGTGCAGAAAATGTTTGACAATGTTCATATACCTGGTATAACGTGTAACGTTAGTCGGATTCAGCAACAATTCAATCTTTGGAAGCTTAAAATTATTCAAAACAATTACGACACTGCACTTCAAGAGGCAATTTTTCGACATGAAACGACGTTTTGAAAAATTAAGTGCACCTGGACTTCATAACCATGTATCCCATATCTAGCATACACAGGTACTTTAGCGACTATGTGATTTGCCGTAACATTGTTTTAATCAATGTGATACCCAATAATATCATTAATATTATTTAAAAACAGCACGCGCCGGTGAGTCTACTTAATTGTAAAATTAAAAATAAAAAATTAAAACACAAAGCTTTGTTCAACTGTGTAACGCTGTTTCGCTTGACTAAAAAAAATCAGGTAATGGTAGAGTGAAGATGAGCTAAGTTTTAATCTTGTTGGCTTTTAGAAGAAAAACATCCAAAGAAGTTTGTTATTCCTACCTTTATGCGTGTAGAGCTCCTTCCTGTTAAGAGTAGGACTGTCGCTCCTGCTATGAGTTGTGCTGTTGCCACGATCGACTTAATAATTTATAGCCAGTCTCTCTCGCTTGTTGCTGATTGTGCTTCTCTCTCGCTCTCCAACACCCACCTATAGTAAGCCCACACTCTTGTGATAAACTCCGCAACACTCCCTGGTATCTCCGGTCTTAGGAATTGATTTGACGAAAGCCAGAAGTCACGTGACTGTTGACTCTCAGTCGGGTAAACCAATACCCGACCAGGGCACCCACCAGAGGTTGGTGAGAGAGTCACATGAGGAATGTTTTATGTTTTATGGAATTAGACACTGTTTTCTTTGCGATCTGTCAATAAGGGCGCGATAGTTGACATCTGTCATTGCAAATGGGTTGGTCGAAGTATAGGAGACTCACTTAATGAGTGGTGTGTGTGACAGATCGTCAGATTCATATCGGATAATGTATTGGGTTTCGTTCATTCTTAGTAATACATTGTAAGTGGAGAGTTGTATCGTGATCTTTGCTTTTGGTCTATTAAATAATGTTTAATCCATATTGACCTCGTCGTTCTCAAATAGCTTACACTTCTCCTGTAATAGGTTTAACAGGTGAGACGAATAAACATACAAGTTCATCAAGAATCGAGTATTTGTCCCCGAGTGAGTGCGTATGGTTTTACGCCGCTTTTAGCAAGATCACAGCTATATCAGGACGGGGACACCAGAAATTGGCTTCAAACATTGTACCTAGCGTGACCACCGGACGCTCTAACCATTAGGCTACCCCTCCACCCCCTTTGCCCTTGAATTAGCTTCAGTAACATAATTGCCACTCATCTATTGCAATGAAATACACAATACAAGTAACTTTTATGTTCCTAATCTAATTAACTGACAAAGGATCCTGATCATGTGTAGAAAGCTTCACAGACGTTTTGTAAATATGGCTCACAAATAGGCTCCTTATGATCGGAAGATCTTGTTCATTTTGGTCAGTGCCAACGAAGACATATTGTGCCATTTGTTTTATACACCGAATAAGCACTTGACCACGGCTCCTTAGACCCGTGAAGATCAGGGCTAGAATCGGTCTTCAGCAAACCATACTTGTCGTAAGAGTCGACTAACGGGGTCGGTTGGTAAGGCATGTGGTTCCCACATGTCATCGTATCCCAATTGCGTAGATCGATGCTCATGCTGTTGATCACTGGATTGTGTGGTCCAGACTCGATTATTTAAAGACCACCGTCATTTAGCTGTATCATTGCTGAGTGCGGCGTTAAACAACCAACCAGCCAGCCAAGTCGCATTAGCCTGTACCCACTCAAAAATCTTGCAGTAGATAGATGAACCATTTTGACTTGTGAACACATAAGGAGAAGTATTCACATTTTACAGTAACTTTTAACGTAACGGGAGACTCGTATAAAACGTGGATGATAATTATTGGCACACTGTAGTTGTGTAGCATTGGAAGACTTGAAAGCTCCTTTGATACTGCACCACATATATAGAGGGATTATTGTTATTGCAGTGGAAATGTGTCAAGATATTCTTGTAGGTGATATTGGCAATAAATAAAGCCACAAAATACGTTCCATATTCAATTGATTTAACACTTCAAACTGTATCATGAACGTGTGTTTATGAATCGTACAAAGTCAACTTATGCTATCGCCGGTGGGTAGAGCCAAGTCAAGTGTAGACCTAATATTTGTCTGATACATGTATTGACGGGACTGTCTTTCCATATAAATCAATAGACAATTTGTATGTATGGTCAAACAAAAAGCATTCTGCATAACAAATAAGAAACAGCTAATGTTGTTTGCTTGTTTATAAGCACGTTTCCAACTACATGACGGCAATTCAAAAAATATGTGAGTCTGGACCAGACAATCCAGTGAATGACATGATGACCATCGATCTTTTCAATAGGGATAGGATGACATGTGTCAACCAAGTCGGTGAGCCTGGATACCAATCCCTTTAGTCGACTGGGTTGCTTATGATCAATTCTAACCCGGATCTTCACGGGGACAAGCATTGTTTGCTGAAGACCAAAGCTAAACCGGATTTTCAAACGGGACAGGCATTCTAACCTAGATCGTCGATAGTGGAATGGATTAATGACTTCTACCGATAGTTTAGAGCTGCACCGATGTTCATTTCGTTTTTCCATGACGTTGTAAAGATTTAACACTAGCTTTATCGGTGATCTTTCATCGCTGAGATATTGAACGAGATGTTACTATGCCAAACACATTCTATAAATATAACAATGCCAAATACGATTTGTGAGACATTTGTTACGAATATCAAAATATCAGAGATGACTCCAAAGTGTTAGATAATCAATATCTGAGCTCAGATATAGTGCAAAAGCGATGACATGTCAACGACATCACAGGTCACGCGGTATAATTATACAATAAATACATCAAGATGACAAATACAACCGGTATCAATATGTGATTGATAGCAACGATATGTGAAATGACGTTAACGAAACACCACACAAGAGACACCAAACATTGGATGTTAACTGGAATATCTGAATGTCGACTATTTTGAATGAATATCACACCTTGATAACAGAATATGAAATGTAACAATCAGGAAACACAAACGACATAAGTCAAAGATAGCAACAACATCCATAAAATCAAGTCCAAAATTGATAAGTTTGTAAGAAGATAAGTGGATTGCAGAATGAAGTTTTCCAGGCTGAGTAAAATACATCCAATCTAAATTTAAACAAAAAGTAGACAAAGATATATTTCAACCATCCTAACAGATGTCCATTATTACAACTAGATATGATAATTCTAATTATATTTGAAGATAACATCGCTGTTATGTGGGGAAAAAGAATTCATACAGCGATATTTGGGGAACAATGTGATGGCAAAGATAGGTATTTGTCAGATGTGGCAACGATATGTTTAAAGTTTGTATGGGGATTTCCCTTTCCTATAGCCAATATGAATTTAACCACCTTGATATCCAATAGGCGACAGTAGCGAATTATATTCATAGACAAGTGTAATGTATATCTACTTTTATCAGTTTTCCTTGCGATGGGACGTTAACTTATTCATCCAACAAGATATCAGACAGGCTGCTTCTCTTTGGCTCCGCTTTGAATGCATAAACCATATTGGCAGGGCTACCGTGTGTGTTTTGGGGGATGAGTTAATTGTAAGTTGAACTTATCAGACAGCGGTAAAGAATGTTATCACAAAGGTTCGTTCATGGAACATGCAAACAGTGGTGTATGCCCAACAACGAGAGACGTCGGATTATTTTGACAAATATTAAGCCAAACCACAGTGCCTGAGTTACCGATCCATTTTAGTCAACATTCACAAGCATAATCGCTTGGGAATAGTTCTACCCATAAATTCCGTTAATTCTATGCAAGGGATATATATCACATCTATATACAATTATTTATACCGTCAAAGACAGCCACAAAACAAGTTACATTTACCTTAAAGTGCAAAATAGCAATGTTAATTACCGGTATATGGTTGGCTCGCAATCGGTGATGACACCAGGTGTTCGATAAAGGGTAAGCACGCCCTGCCCTAAATTTCTCAGATAATTGACGTGGACAAATTTTGTAAATATCCTGAAGAAGACAAAGTCTTGCATTAAAGACCATTAACAGCTGCGCTACCTTCAGTGCCGTTGGTGAAAATGGAAACGGTCTCGCCCTCCTTTTCAGACAGGCCTTGGGCAACACCTTGACAACCGGTGATTTATGACAACGTCGATGAAATTAGTCCAAAGAGGTTTGAAACGTATATTATCCGACCAAGCAATGCTGGTCCCTGTAGTTCAAATACAAATCATTCCGTATTATCATGTAATTTCTTTCAAGTCCATAACGAACCAGTCAGTGCTCATTTAGAATCCCAAATGCATTTTTTGCAATCAGAGATTTGCTATCTGTTCACAAATACTGAAGCGATATTACGTTACCGCATTGCGTATAACGTTTACAATGCCATTACAAGAGCTGAGAGGTTTTTTTCATTTGACACGGATACGAGTATGAATATCCCTAATGGTTTGGCGTTTTCAATTAAAACATTTTCTTTCATGTACAAAAAGTGATAATTGTCCATATATTCTCATTTCCCCAAACGTCAAACACGATCACAGCAAGGCATATATGCTCAAGAGCTGTAACGATGAAGGAAGCAGTAATGATCGACTGAAACACCATAGTTACCAACTGAGGACGGATTATCTGCAAAGAGATACACGTCATATAAGTATTGTACACATCAATAAAACCCATTTCAAAATAGCATAAGCATCGTCTCAGAAGAAAATAACTATCAAGATCATCTCGAAGTTGTTCAGGTTCCTGTATTGACAAAACAGCATTATTCTTGAGTGGGAACAATTCTGTAATCTGCCGCGCCCTGCCACTTAAATGCAACGGAGCGTCATGGTTTTCCCGACAGTTACCATAGTAACGTCATGCACACGCATTGTTGCTCCGTATGGCACCGTAGGCATGGTCGATTACAAATACATTCCATTTTTCCATATCTGTCAAAATAATACCCCAATATGTTTTGGAGTGATTTCAAGTTGTTGTCCAGTTTTAAAGCTAGAACACGTCGGATTAAAAGCTTTTACTGTTTTCGTATGATAGTAATGATCTTTAATGTGATGTTAAGTTCACCATTACAATTGTCATGCGTCGCAAGTATGCGTAATAGTTCCCTCTTACAAAATACTGTGTGACAGTAAAAGATTTATTATCGGATTTCTATTCTCATTCGTCTGGTAAAGATACCGACAATCAAAATTAAGTACTTGTTTTGACTGACAACCGCATCGCCATTAGGCGACAGACAACATATACAATCTAAAACCGCACAGTTTACTGCGTCTGAAACCTTTTTATGTACTTGTATATCAGGTTAAATGTTTTTACAGAAATAGCGTCATTCAAGTCCTTACGATCACAATTGGACATTTGAAATATAATTCAACTTATTTTGTAAAATGATGTTTTTCTGAAACACAGAAATATAAACAAGACGATTATTTTCGTGATAGTGAATGAATGAATGAATGAATAATTAGTGAACAACTATCACGGCGATATGTTGATAAGAAATCTCGATTGTATGATTTCAGAATAGCTCAT